AACAACATTTTCACCTTTCCTTCTCCTATCTCTCTCTTGCAGCTCTTCCTTGGAGAAAACAGCCTGTTGCTTCCCCAGAGCTAGAGCAAAAGATAAAGGAATGAAGTTAATTAGATTTACACCATGTACTATAAATTTTTTGCTAAGAGAGGAAGCTCATAACTGACACACTTCCAACAGAAACAAGATAGCTTACGTTTAAGGTTAGCCAGAAAGAAAGTGAACAGGATATTTAACAACACTGTGTAACCAAGCAAAGCACCAACACCAATCCAATACCAGTAGCTCTCTGGAAAAAAACTGCGTGCTCTCAACAGTGCTTCACCCAATGAGAAGTTAGTATAGTTTCCAGCACTCTACAAGCAAGGAAATTAAGTATAGTGAGTTTCAACATAAAACCAAGAATGTTGAAACTGTAACTCAATTTTAGAAACAACTTTTTGTTGCTTATCTCCACAGTCAATCTACTGAATTGAAATTCAACCCAAATTCCAACTTGAATCATCTCATAGTCAGACAACATGATTCATGCATAACAGAACCAGGAGCTCAACAAGGGTGAGACTGTAAGAATGACACACAAGCATCAAGCTACCAAGCTTAAGGCTAGCTAAATAAATAGATGGAGTGCTCAGTTGCCACGAGCTCAGGCATGTATGGTCATGATTCATGACATCACCATAACATTATAATGTTGAAAGAACGAAAAAGAAGTGAAAATTGCACCTCTAACTCACCCATTAATCAGAAGAATAAAAGTTCAAACTCAACATGCAAATGTTTACTATCAACAATTGCTCAACCATTATTTCTGTTGATTTTATTCTTCTCCAGACATCATTACTATTTCCATTTGATGACAAATGAACAGGACATTCCGCAGGCACTCAAATGATTAAGAAGCAAAATGCAATAAATAATACTTAATGATGTTACCTTATCCCAGGAATTCCCAAGGAATTCATTGACAGAAGCTGCATTTTGAGCATACATCAAAGGGGAAACCCAATAACCCCAGATCCACCAGCTAGGGATACGATCTGTCAGATTGAAGAAGAGTAAATAATCATATAGCATCACCAATTATTAAAAATATACATGGCAAACATGACTGTCTAACCTCTTGAAATGATATAGCCTCCAAGAGCCATGACTACCAACATAGCAAATGATCCAAAGGTGTTGGCAACGATCATATTTCTGCCCAAGGATCCCATCACTCGGAAAAGAGCTATAGACATCTGGTGCAGAGAGAAATACAACAAGAACTGCCGAAGAAATCTGCAAAGTTTAGAATTAAAATGACATATTGAATCACAAAACTGCCAAAACAAATGCCAATATTCATTGGAAGCAAAATCACCTGGTGATGTTAGGATCATAACCAATCACGTAGTATGTTGCTGCCACCCAGAAACCAGACTCATAGAGGGAAGTTGGAATACTTAGCACCCAAGAAGGAATTGTATAAGCCCAGCTTGGATAGAAATGCAAATCCCTATGCTTGTAAAGAACTGGAAGTTTGGCCACCAACATTGAAACCTCAGTAAATCCATTAAAAAGAATAATGACCATGGAAAAGTACAGTGCCCCTAGATACAATCCTCCATCATCAATTGTATCATGATGCAGTGCTGTCCGCATAAAAACGCTCATTGAGATTAAGGCAACAATAAAAAGCTGGCAAACAAAAGACGATATTAATAAATCAGATTAAATCTCAATTGAATTTCAGTTCTGAAATGAGTTGGCATCACAGGAAGATAAAAACAAAACAAACTGATCTAATAGATCAATACTCCTAACTTAACATAAACCAATCACTAGAAGTGTGCTACTATTTTGAAAGATGAAACTTTCAGTACTCACCTGAATAAATTTAAAAACGTAGATAAATGAATTCCGTTTCATCAATAGCATCTGCCAGTCAAAGCTGGTCTTAAGAAGTTCAATCCTCTTCATGCCATACCGAGAAGTTGACAGTGCTGCTGGATGGTTATAACGCCTATCAAATGGAATGCTTAGTTCCTCATGCAAATTCTTCCCAGTTTGATAGGAGTGGAAAGCTTCAGCAAATTTTCCTGGAGGAATGTAACGATAGGGCCGGAAAGGAACAGACCAATACTGCTCTTGATCCTTCTTTGACAAAATCTGTGTGCAGAAAACATGAGCAAATAAAATACCATAGATTATATGTTCACAAAGCAAGTTCTAGGCCCCATACCTCTTGCAAAAAGTCTGCCACATTCTTTCTTTCAGGACAACTAAATCCCATAAAAGCAAAGAAATCAAGGGCAGCTCCACGAGGCCCCTGGTATACAAGCTGGCCCTCACATAAAAGTATAACATCATCAAACAACTCATAAGTTTCGGGAGCTGGTTGAAGCAGAGAAATTACAGTAGTCCCATCAAGTGCATGAGTAGAATGTCTCAGATATCTAATAATTTGATAAGTAGTAGAACTATCAAGCCCATTTGATATCTCATCCATGAACAACACCCTAGCTGGGCCAACTAGTAATTCACCTGAACGAACATTTCTGCCAAATCAGCATGAATGATAGGCAAATAGGTTCTTAGTCAGCAAGAAGAAAAAAGAACATTGCATAAACCTGTTGTAAGCCGCTTTTTCTGGCCTCCTGATATCCCTTTAAGCATTTCATCTCCCACCAATGTGTCAGCACAGATGTCCAGCCCTAAAATCTTTGTCAGATGAATTTTAGTGCTTCAGAAGAATCATTAAGAAGTAAGCGTAGCTACTATATACTACCATTAAACAGATTTTCTGAAAATGACCCTCTTCCTATGGCAGTAACAAGACCAATCAGTTAATTTAACAGGTTAATTCGTACAAACCCTAACCTTTGCTGTTTCATGCCTCTACTTGAGATGTAATTCATCATCAATTTGCAGAAACTAGCCTTGGCCCATCCATTCAACTCCCTTACTATGATTTACATCTAACCATAAACAGCCTCTCTTAATTAAAATTCTTCAAGCATCTTTAAACTTTCAAATTTGTTTTTGGCTAGTTTCCCTAAAGCTAACCAAGCAGCATACAGTGTAGTTAAAGCAGCTTGAAATGGAAAACCAAATTGCTGAAAATTTAGACAGAACCTACAAATACCACATGAATAAGGTTATTCAATACTATTGCTGGAAAGAAGCAGATACAGGATCAGTCTACAAAATGAGAATGTAGTGGACGAATTGTGGTGAAACATATCATATAGCGAAGATGGTTTCCTGCTTCCACATTTTCCTTTTTCTTCTGTTTTATTTTTTAAGTAACTTCGAAAGAAGTCCCAGTTCTTAGCTGAAGTTTTCAATAACCAGATGGTATTCAGAATATCAAGCACATAGCAATTTAGATTTTCATAAAGCTCATCTACATAAAGCTATACAGCTGATTTCTCCCATGAAAAAATTTTGGAACTAATAATACAGTTATACACGTCATATATAAACACCATTAACAAACAACGTAAAACTTGCTTAATTGCTTCAATGGTTTAAGAGCTAGATGAAACATAGGTCTACTTGAAGTAGAGTTAGCAAGAAAAATGTGTCATTTATTCATGTCTTCCTTGTTACTTGGTTATGCCAGGATATTGTATCAGATACTTGATACTTAATAAAATCTTTATCTTTGATTGGGGAAAAAAAACTATATGACATCACAATGGGACGTGCATCGATGAGTGATCAGCATCTAGAGAATACCTTCATGATGTATTCTACCACGAGGCTTGTCTCCTTTCCCCCCAAAGCTAGCGACTAGAAATAACAAGTGTCACCATTATTAACTCTTAGCTGTAATGAACTAATAGGATGAACAAATAACAATCCATGTAAAATTGGCAACACATCTCACTTACCTTCATAAAGATATCAAGATCTTCATCAGGTTTTATCCCAGCATTCTTTTCTCTTCTTGCAAGTTCCAAAAGCATATCTTTTGCAAGTATGCATAAGTAAGCAATGAGGAATAATGACTTATGGACATAAAGATGATTTCTCAATGCTTACCATATTTAGATCCAACACCTTGACACCGTCCTGCAAATTCTAGTGTTTCCCTCACAGTCATTTCTGCCACATGCCAGTCCTGTTGACTGACATAAGCAGACGTCCTTGGAGGAACAAATTCCTTTAGTCCATGTCCATTATACGTAATTTTCCCTGACATCTTCAAAGCAATCAAAATGCAATAAATAACAAGAAAGGAATCACAGATGAAATTACTAGCTAAAAGTCTGACTAAATCGTGGGGAGTTTTATACTTTAATGGCATAACCAATTA